AAAAAAAAAGTATTTAAATTATATCTCGATGGACACTACTCGTAAGAACATTAACGTTTATTTATAGTGCACATATATATGCACTCTACGTCTCCAGGGTAATGTACGTATTTCAATGTGAAAGGTTAGGATTTTCCAATTATTCAACTATTTTACCAAAAAGGATTTTCAATAAGAAGCGATTGTTTATGTTGAAATTACGCTAATAAAAAACGACGTTTATTTATTAACAGCTTCGCTGAAATGAATAATCCAATGTGTCAGACCATCCAAAAGTAATATATACAATAACAATCGTAGTTATAGAAAACGATGTATAAAAAGGATATCTTACAAAAGGATGGTCTTTCCTCCATGCCTTTCGCTCTTCCGCAAGTCTAGCAATCGCGATGCCTGACATTAATCTGCAACAAGTTTACCTTATATTAGCGTAACGTATTTCGGCGCGAAATATAATCGAGACGTGATACACAAATGCGAATTACAACGTTACCACGACGCTTATCGACAGCAGTCCGCAACTTTGAATTCTGGGCACTTTCTGCGCCGAAATTTCATCAAATCCTTAACCGCACAAGGGTGAAAGCGATTCTATTAGGGTGCGTGTTCAGAAAACCTATGGATTTGTAACCGTCTTTAGTGTTGTATGGATCTCAATGTGAATTCTTTTTCGCAAAGACAACATCTGTTACGGGAACCTCAGTCGATAAAAGAGATCACATGCCCTGGACAAATCCTGCAGAGCTAAACCAATCAAAATACACGTGTACATTTGTCCAGCTCAATGGTCGGGCTGATTAATTTTAATTTTAATTTATGTGTTTTTTTAATTATTATATTAATCATTTTAATTATTATATTCATTTATTTTTTTACCAATTCATAAAGATTATACGATATTTCTTTTTGAAGTCTTTCTTAGATAAGTTACGAGGATTTCAAAATAAAGAATGATGTTAAAATAGAACTATTCAGATTATAGCAATGTGGTAAGCTAAGCAGATTATAGCAATGAAGGTAAACTAATTAATGTATATATTCTTTAGAAGAAAACATACGTCATTATCTTTAGTATTCAACTTTATGTATATGTGTAATTAAAATATAATTTCAATTCTGTTGCTTTATGTTCTTTTATTTTTTACACTAAGCTTTTTACATATCATCTGTCGTAATGGAAAAAAAAAAACAAAGCATTACACGGATAGACATGTGTAAATTGAATTAACATGTTTGAATTGAATATTGAGGAGATTATTCTATTGTTATTTTTTCTTTACACGTAGCAATATGAGTGATAAATATAAGTAATCTGTTTGAATGAAATATCACTCTAACATATATTAATGTAGTATATCTTGTATACCCTGTACTTGTACTTGTACAATATATTCTGATATCTTGTATCAATTAATAATATTATTGAAACATGCTTCGATCCCGGCTTTCACGTGATCCTTGAAATCAAGTGATTTTGTTTGATGTTGTTCCTACTTTTATATATTTGCATTATGCATCGTTCAAAATAAAACAATTACGAAACTCAATTCAAATTCTACTTGTACTATTAGGATCGTATATTGCTATCAGAGGTTATAAGACACGATTTTATAGTTAAACTGAATTTTCCCTCAAAAGTTACTTCTTATATTGGGATAACATAACAGGAACAGAGATCTCCCAACACTAGATGGCGCTTTTGTAACGGTGATGAATTGGTTATCAAATTTCGTTGTTTGCACTGGGATAACATAAGTAGAAAAGAGATTTCGGATTTTAAATAGTACTGATTGAAGATATGAAGATCTAAAAGAAAAACCGGATCATTATATCTTTTTCATGATCACAGAAAAAAAAGAGAATTTTATTCTAGATATTAGAGTAATTTGGTGAAGAAAATATCTCATCAATTTTAAATAGAATGTGTTTCAATAACAAAGCATTGGGATTTAAATTTAAAGTTATATATCAATTAAAAAACCTAAAACCTAAAACCTAATATCAATGAAAACCTAACTATTTTTTTGTTTTTAGGGAAACATCATGAATGAACTTTCTCAATATAAATTCACATTATATTATCAGGCATCTAATACTGTTGACATGTATGTAATTAAAATTGGATACTGGAAAATTTGCAGGAACTTCTTCTTATTCAATTAAATATGTATGATGAAGTCCGACAAATATTTTCTTTTGAATATACGTAGATAATCGTAATATTCCTGTGAACGATTATAGATCGTTGGTTTCGCCATTCTAAAACATCTAATTATCGTAACACGCATTGGCGCACTATGTAAATCGAATGTCTGCGTCTGCGCTCAGATCTTGGAACATGTTCTCTTTTAAACCCTTGTATCATCTTAGTTATTCATTCGACAGAAGAGGATCAGCTTCGATTTTCTTATTAGCGTCAGCAGCCCTCAGTCAACACTTGTACATCATTCGAATATGGTCTTTCCATTTCCTGTGTACCCGAACGATTAACGAGCCGATGGAAAATTCTCGACAAAATATAACGTTCTCGTTGAATCCAGGCGACATTTTTATTTTCTTTTCATTAAGGACAAGATTGATTTGAAAATGTGGAAAATATTAAGTTATGTTTTTTTGTAAGTAAACTTTTCTTCTTTTATTTTCGGCCATTTTATTTTCAATACCATTAAATAATTTATTACGCAACTCTTGGTTTTTCTACATCCAATTTTAATTT